CTCTGTTTTTCACGTTTGGTCATTTCTATTATTCTATCTAAAAATTCACATTTTTTCCTTTATCCCTTTCACTTTACTGTTGAGCCTATCTATTGAGATTTTCATTGGCTTTTGTTTTTCAATTCTAAAATTTTCATGTGATTCCACTCCATCTTCTATTTCTTTTGCTAACTTTATAGTTACTTGCTGAGACTTCCACTTTTTTTTCCATTTGTTTCAAGAATGTTCATAATTGCTTGTTGAAGAATTTTTATGATGGCTCCTTTAAACTCTTTGAAATATAATTCTAATATTTTGCCAGTTTGGTCTTGGCATCTATTGTCTTTTTTTTTCACTCAGTTTTATATCTTTCTGATTCTCTGACTGAAAACTGTACATTTTTGATATTATAAGGTTTGAGAGCTTATTTAAACTTGGTTTTACCTGATTTCCTTTGACACCATTCCACCCACTGTGGGGGATGGGTAGAGGATGACGCCTTGTTACTGCCTGATTAAAGATAGAGGTCTAGGTTCCCCATTTGGTCTCCACTGATATGCAGGGAAGGGGTTTCTCATACCTGCTAAGTAGGTATGGGAATTCCAGCCCCTCCCGTGGTATCCATTAATACTTTAATGAGGGTGAGCCCACTACCAATGTGCAATGGTAAAAGTCCCGAGTCTCCAGTCCTCCAGCTGGCCTCCACCAATGCTACTCCAGCAGGGAGGTGCTACCATATGTTGGTAGATGTAGATTCCCCATGTGGTCACCACTGATAACATAGGGTATAAATGGGCTTATTACTGCCTTGAGGGGATGAGAAAACCTCCTAGTTATCTGCTTTGTCTTCTTTGGCACTATCCCAGAAGGAGACTGGGGCACTTCATTACAGCCTAGCAAGAATGGAAGTCTGGACTCCCCACTCAACTTTTGCTGGCATGGGTGGAGTCAGTTTTATTGTGATATTTAACTGTAGTAAAGTCGTTACTGTCTCAAATTTTTCTGTCTTGCTAAGCTGCTCCTTTAATAGTCCTTTGGCTGGAGAGAGCAGACTTTTGGGGGGCTTTTTGGTCTGTGCTCATTGGTATTTATGGGTTGCTGACTTCTTTATTTACAAGTCTGGAATATTAAGGGAAAAGGGAATCTGAGGAGTTCACCACCATATCCTACCTTGAGTTATGAAGTCCCTAGCTGGTCTATTTTCTTCTCTACACATTTCAGAATCCTCTTGTTTGTTTTCATAAATAATGCCCAGAGGCTTTAGTTGTTCTTGGTGGGAGAAGTAGGGAAAAGTTTATCTGTTCCATCCTTCTGGAAACAGAAATCTGTGTACCACTTTTGAAATAAAAATTGTTTTAAAAAGAGTTATTTTAAGCATTGTGTTTTTGGGGAAACTATTCTTTTTGTTGGTAGTTGGTAAAATATGGCTTCTATATCTACTGAGGCTTTCTTATTCTCTTTCTGATCAGTGGGCTGTGCATGTGTGTGTATGTGTGTGCACACAAACTAATTCCTTAAAGATAATTAGAGTCTCAAAACTTCAAAAATGTACTATTGATTTGATTCAGCAATAAACACACATAATGCAGCAGGAAGGAGAACATGATCCCTGCCTTATAATCTGTGGCATTTCCATTAAAAAGCATGTGCTTAGCAAAATCCCCAGCTGTTAGTATACTAATAGAATCAAATGGAGGACCCAAGAAGTCAGCCAGGAAGCTAATAGAATCATGTTTTAGTAGGTGCTTTGTTCAGCAAAGAATGAGGAATATAGAAAAATGATCTTCAATTTCTTGATGACTTTTTCTTTGCTAGCTCTCTGAAGACTTGGACTTTTAGTCTAACTATTCGAAATAGTCTTATATGTCTGACTTAATTAATGTTTTCTATGTTTTCTGGGAAATACATTTCATAGTTTATGTGAGTAGATGAAGTTCTTGACACATACTGAATATTTATCATATCAAAATAAGATTTATCTTCTCAAAGTACTGGGGAACTCTTTAATCTTATAAAGTTATTATGCAATGATTTGGGGAGTATGCTTTACATAAGAATTCCCAGTTCATGAAAGAGATAAGAAAACTGCCACATAGTCCATTATTAAGGGTGACTATCATTTTATCAGTATCTGTTCTATGAAGGCAGCACAGAATTTCAATTGAAATTTTAAAGGCTGACAAATTTTGTAGTTACTTTGCCTGATGGTTAACCTAATGATTTAACCTGAATCATTTAGGAAGATTAAGTGACCAGTCTCTAGCAACAAATAATGAGAACTCAATGATAGTGTAAGGTGGAAGAAATGGAGAAGCTACATACAGTGAGCTGATTCTGAGCAGATGTTCCTTATGGCTTGATTTAGAACTTAATTATAAATTTTCTTGTCATGTTGTCTATGATTTGATTTTTCTCTAAAGTAATTTACTATTAGTATTTTGATTGGTTAGATTTAGAGCTAAATCCTTAGCCATATCTGAACATGTTGTAATTAGGACAAAGACCTGCAGGACTAAAAATACTGACTATAAGATAGTCACTGAATTAAATAATCCACCCATATAATGCTTGTTTAAATTAGATTTTTAATTCTGTACTCGTCTGCCTTCCTTACATTGCTTCAGAGACTCAATAACAGTTTATATATTTAAAAAAGCCCCTTTTGCTACTCATCTTGAAATACAATGAGAAATTTATCCATGTGAGAAACAGCTTGAACTGCAGACATTGGATTTGTAATCTGAGGTTTGGAGTCTGTAGTAAAATTTTTTTGGCTTCCATTGAATTCATGTCCTGTTTGTATATCTCCTAATTAGTATTCAAATCTACCCTGAAGCTTCAGTTTTAGATAACTGCTTATCTCTTTGAAATTTTCCAGTCAGGGCCTCCAAAGTGAATTTTACACATGCCACAAAGGCTATATTTTATGTATCCTCATTATGTATCGGAGAAGGAAATGGCAACCCACTCCAGTACTCTTGCCTAGAAAATCCCATGGACGGAGGAGCCTGGTAGGCTGCAGTCCATGGGGTCACTAAGAGTCGGACACGACTGAGCGACTTTACTTTCACTTTTCATTTTCATGCATTGGAGAAGGAAATGGCAACCCACTCAAGGGTTCTTGCCTGGAGAATCCCAGGGATAGCGGAGGCTGGTGGGCTGCCGTCTATGGAGTCGCACAGAGTTGGACACGACTGAAGTGATGCAGCAGCAGCATTACATATCACCAAATATATCTCCTTTTGTGTGACTTGGTAACAAACAATTTTAAGTAAGTTAGTCAGTCTGAAAATTGATGACATATACAAATTTTACATTTTATAAAGAGGTTTAGCCTATATCTTTAAATGAATATAATAATAATATACATGACCTAATCTTTTAGTCACAGTGAAAATATCAGCATGTTTTTCTTCTGTGTCGAAAACTAGCCCATAATGTTATATATCTACCCCAAATTATAATATATATTTATGTGATTTTTACATTCATGTTCTCTTATCAGCTTCATTGGATGGCATACTGACATATTTAACAATTTTTAAAAATGCAGACTTTTATTTTTATTTATTTTTCTAGATATAAACATAAAACAGTAAAAGAAACATGTAGTTATTTCTATAAAAAGGCAATCTACAGAATGAGGAAAAATAGTTGCAGAATAAAAAATTCCTGCAAATCAATTAAAAAGAGGTGATCCAATGACAAATCAGCAAAAGACTTGAACAGGCTTCTCTAGAGAGAGGACTTTCAAATGCTGCATAAATACATGAAAGATGCTCAATTCCACTGTGGCCACTAGGAAAATGCAAATTAAAAACACACATCCAGGAGAATGGATAAAGTAAAAAAGATGGAAAATGCTAGTTCTGATAAGGATGGAAAGCAGTTGGAACTTTGATCCATGGCTGGTTGCTGCGTGTGATCACTTCGGAACGCTGGTTGATAGTATGTATTAACGTTGAGCATATCCATATCTTCAGACCCAGCAAATGTCCTAAGTTAATACCTGACTAGGTATAGTCATCAAAAGGTGCACAGAACTATTTATATAATCCCAACCTGGAAAATACCCACCTGTAGATCAGTATATGGTGAATAAATTAAGATATATCTGTACCACAGAATACTTTACAACAAAGAGAATCAACAAATTACAACCAGCTGCAACAATATGGGTAAATCTCACAAGCTTGAAGAACAAAGAATTCATATTTCATGATTCTATTGATGTAAAATTCATGAATAAGCAAAAACAATTTATAACGTTTGGAGTCAGGATGGTGGCCACTCTCAGGGGATGGGTGACTGGGAGGGGAGACGTGGGTGCTGCTGGGAGCTGGTAAAGTTCTATTTCTTGGTCTGGACATTTACATGGGAATGCTTATTTGGATGGTTTCATGAGGTGTCCATTAATAATATGTGCACTTGTATAGTTATATGATATTGTAACAACGCAATAAAATAATGTAATAAAAATGTAGTTTTCACCCCAGATACTGGTGATAACTTTGAAATAGACTGGGGCCCAGGGCTAGAGATGGTGCTCAGCCATGTCTCTGGGTTGTTTCTGATCTTGATCTCAACATGTTTAGGTCACTGTTCTGCATGAGAATAATGAGTATAATAATGCTTGGGGTTTTCTCTTTGCTAATTATATGTGGCAAATATTAATGTTTGTCCTTTGGAACCAAGCTATTTGGTGGTTTTTAAAGATATAACAATGTTGGAGAAGGTGAGGATGGGATGTTCTGAGAGAACAGCATTGAAACAAGTATACTATCAAGGGTGAAACAGATCTCCAGCCCAGGTTGGATGCATGAGACAAGTGCTTGGGGCTGGTGCACTTGGGAGACCCAGAGGGATGGGATGGGGAGGGAGGTGGGAGGGGGGATCAGGATGGGGAACACATGTAAATCCATGGCTGATTCATGTCAATGTATGGCAAAAACCACTACAATATTGTAAAGTAATTAGCCTCCAACTAATAAAAATAAATGAGAAAAAAGATATAGCAATGTTTTAAATGCTTCCAATTAAAAACAAAACTGTAGTAGGTATCATTATGGAATAGTGGGAGAAATTGTGAATGAGAAGGCAATAGATCTGGTGACTATTTGTTCTCTTCCAGCTGAGTGAACTAGGGCAAGTACAAGCCTCAGTTCCAGTTCTTTAAGACCTGACCTGCCTGAAAGCAGAGGGATTAACTCTGGAATCTAAGATCCACCATCTGTTGATAAAGTTTTAAAATAAATGACTGATGATATTACTTGCTTATATCACCATTGATTTCCAATCTTGTGTTCTGCTGACATGTTCAATGATAAACATGGTCCCAAACACACACCAAAAAGTTGCAAAGTATATAGAAAAGTATGGTCTCAATGCTGTAGCTCATCCGAACATCTCACCTTATCTTCATCCCCAAGCTGATCTCTTGTTTCTTTTGGGAGTTTTTGCTCTGAAGCAAGGATGCTTTTTAGGAAGTGTTCCATGTTGGTAAAAAGGAGAAGATCTTTGTTTTTCTTAATATACTGTAGAGAGTATGAAAGATAAATTATAATAAACTTAAGATTTTTGCTCTCATTTATTCTGAGTACTCTTGAATCTTCTTTGCCAGTACCTCAGAGTACTATACACAGTTCTGCTTTCCTAAAATAAAATGAGATCTCTTCATAAATGGGTTGGCAGAGTACTAATTAATACAAGCTCTGCAACTATCTCTGTCTTGGAAAAGAGGCTTTTAATACTTCTAAGCTTCAGATTTCTCATCTGTAAGTTAAGAATAAGAGTAACATCTACTCTATAAAGGCATGGAGAAGGTTAAGTGAGATAATGTATGTAAAGCTCTCAATAGAACACCTGACACATGGCAAGTGTGTAATGTTTGCTAGTATCTGCCTCCTAGATTGAAAAGTTTTATTACATAGCATCAGTGTCGACATAAATCTATTCATTAGCACAGTAAACATATTAAAAGCCTGCTCTGAGGCTGGAATGTGGATTATATCAGAAAAAACAAAGCAAACAACTCTGCCCTCATAGAGTTTATATTCTAGCAGGGAAAACGGAATAAGCAAACGTAAGTAAATCCTGAGGGGCTCCCCAGGTGGTGCAGTGGTAAAGAATATGCCTGCCAATGTAGAAGACAAAGGAGACACAGGTTCAGTCCCTGGGTCGGGAAGATCCCCGGGAGGAGGAAATGGCAACCTACTCTAGTATTCTTGCCTGGAGAATCCCATGGACAGAGGAGCCTGGCGGACTGCAGTTCGTGGGGTTGCAAAGAGTTGGCCATGGCTGAGCGACTGAGCACACAGGCAGGCAAAAATAAATTCTGTAATATGTTAGGATGTGATACAGGATAAAGAAACGTGGAGCAAAGAGAAGCTGATGAGCAAGGTAAAGAGGGTGGCAGAGTAAGACAGGCTTGTCAGGATAGTCCTTGAGGTGACACTTGAACAGAGACATGAAGAAGACAAGGGAGTCCAGCATAGACCAGGGTTTCTTAAAGTCAGCGCTACTGACATTTGGGGATGGATGATTTTCTTTGTGGGGCGGTCCCATCGACTGTAGGCTGTTTAGGAGCATCCGTGGCCTCTACCCACTGGTTAACAGTCAGTAGCACCACTTCCTCTGAGTCAGACAATCAAAAGTGTCTTTGGAGGTTGCCAAATGTCCTGTCAGGAATAAAATTGCTTTTGTTGGGAGCTACTGCCTTAGAGGGATGAGCATTGCAGGTGGAAGCCTTAAGATCAGTGTCCCTGGAGTGTCTGAAGAACAGCAAGGAGGACACTGTGGTTGGAGGTGAGTGAATGAGGGGAAGAGTAGGTGACAGTGTGAGACACAAAGGGGACATGACTTCTTAGGTTTTTACCCAAGTGAACTGAGGAACACAGCAGGACTTTGAGCAGTCCCAACTTTTACTTTCAAAGGATGACTCTGACTACGGTGCTCAGACTAGACTGTAGAGAGACAAGCTTGGGCTCGGAGATGAGTTAGTAGGTCTGATGGTAGTTTAAGCAAGGGATGCCTTGCATCAGGTTGGTAGCAGCGCAAGTGATGAGAAGTGATCAATCATGGATATACTTGAAGATACAGTTTGTGAAGGATGAGTTTCTGAAGAATTTCCTGATGGATCGGTTGTGGGGTATATGAAACAGAGAGAGATTTGGCCTGAAGAGAAGACTTTGACTTGAAAAATCAGAAGAACACAGTTGCCATCAGTGGAGATGGGGAATGTTTTAAGTGGAGCAGGTTTGGAAAGAAGATTGGCTTTGGGCATGTTGAGTCTGAGCTACTTGTAAGACATTCCCCTGGAGATGGTGAGTGTGTGTGTTAGTCACTCAGTCATGTCTGATCCTTTGTAACCCTCTGTAGCTGGCCAGGCTTCTCTCTCCATGGAATTCTCCAGGCAAGACTACTGGAGTGATTTACCACTTCCTTCTTCGGGAGATCTTTCTGACCCAGGGATCGAACCTGGGTCTCCTGCATTGCAGGCAAATTCTTTACTGACTGAGCCACCAGGGAAGCCCAGATGGTGAGTAAGAAGTTGGATATATGAGTTGAGATAGAGTTGGGTTGAGGGTGAAGAAAAAATTTAAGAGTTGTTGACATATAGATGAGATTTAAAGCTAGAAGATTGGACGAGATCCCCAAGGGGAGTGAATATAGAAGGGGACAGGACTGAATCCTGTCCCTTGAATATTAAAGAGGCCAGGGAGCAGAGGAAGGATCAGCAAAGGAGACTGAGAAGGAACAGTCAGAGAGGTAGGAGGAAAACTAGAGGAGGCCAGTGTCCTGGGAGTCAAGTAAAGAAGATGGATCGAATTGGAGAAAATGATCAGATGTGTCAAATGCTGCTATTAGGTGAGGACAGAGTGTTGGCTGTTTTCTGAGATTTGTGCTAGACTGTAACAATTTTGTAATCTGGATGACCAACATCACCATCACCAGCAACAACCACAAGATAAATCAGTAACTAATGGAGATTTAATTACAGGGAGATGTATATGGACTATTTCCTCAGCAGTCAGGTGATCAAGAACCTAGTCTCAATTCTACCAATACGAATAGCTGTATGGTTTGGAGCAAACTGCTTAATCTACCTTTAAATACAAATGTGACTAAAAATATGTATGCTACCAAGATTGCTGGGTGGCTTGAATGAGACTATATGTGTGTGTGTGTGTGTGTGTGTGTGTGTGTATACACACATATATATGCCTTGAAAATGTATGAAGTTTTATATACATAATGAAAAAAAGATATGCTCTTATTTATAACTCAACAATGAATTGACCTTTAATGGAAGAATAGAAAATAGTCTTTTTAAGATGATAGATTTAAATTTTATATTTTAATAGTTAAAAAGCTGAGATAATATTGTTATAAAAGTACTTAATAAGTATTAAGAATGCCACTGTCAAACTTGAGCAGAAAAGAGCATACAATAAATTTGGGTAAACAAGCTACCACTTGGGCATCTAAATGTAGTCTCTAAGTCACAGTAAGTTTTATAGATGGAATTCTGCTTATTTATTGATAATATGCTAATGGGACATGAATGAACTGTGGAGCCATATTTGCAATCCCCAAGAGCCAGGTCCCCACTGTCTGCCCTGTAGAACATAGGATTTAAAAAATACTGTCATATTTGGTTTGAGAAGCAGCCTGAATGTCAAGGCAATGTGCCATCTAGGGAGGCAAGAAACACCTGCATAGGTCGTTCACAGAGGCATTTACTCTGTGAAGGAGTCGATTTTAAAACCATGTGCTACCCAGGGAACTTCGCTCAGTGTTATGTGGCAGCCTGGATGGGCAGGGAGCTCGGGGGAGAATGGATTCATGTATATGTATGGCTAAGTCACTGTGTGCACCCGACCTACCACAACATTGTTTATCAGCTATGCTCCAATATAAAATAGAAAGTATAAACAAAAAAACACAAACAAAAGCAAAACCACAGGCTACACAGGTTAAAATCTGTTACCTCCTCCGACGACTCTGGCTCCAAGCGGGACTCATGCTTTCTTACGATGAGTTTAGAGAGAAGGTCTCTTCCTCTTTCAGAGACGGGCTGCTCTCCCAGCAGAAGAGCACTTATGTTTTGGCCAAGTTTACTGTCCTGGGAAACTGTCGACATTTGCAGAGTGATAGAGAATGCTTCTCTGAAATAGGCCTGCAGCCCCTGGTCAGGAAAAGTGAGAGCAGAAGATGAGTCTGGCCTCTAGAAAATGGCTAGTGAAGCTTTAAAATAATAGTTAAAAAAATATGGGGCTTGAGATGGACCATCTTTACTCGCCTGCACCATGGGTTACTATTGTCATTTGTAATTTTGGTGAGGTTCAAATACTGACAATGAAATATCCACAGAAAGTGGTGATGCTGTTCTCAGAGGAAGGCCACTTCTCTCCAGAATTCTTAGAGAGGTGTATGCATTTTTCATATGCTGCCATGGGAAATTTGGTCAGGAAAATCTTAGCCAGGCAGTAGAAACCAAGGGCCACCAATGGGACTTAAGTAGATCTGAAATGTTTCAGAGCTTATAGCATTTACTATCTTGGGGAATAGGCATGAGTCACAGAGTAAGAGAAGCAAAAAGCCCTCTGCACGTTATAAATACCTTGTAAAATGACCTCAGAAAGGCAGGGCTGGAGTCCTGGTGGAGGTCATCGGCAGCAATGTGGGCCAGGCAGTGGATCAACAGCAGAACAAAACTTCCCACTGATGCCAAACACTCTCTCCTAACAAACAGTGTGTTTTCAGCTCTCTGAGTGGAGAAAACACCCAAACATGGGTATGTCAACCTCAGGGAATATTTCCACTGCCTCTCTCTTTTTCTAGTTTTATCTGATCTAAAACAACTTTGGGGATCATGAAGTTAGAGACCCCCTGTGTTAAATGGAAATTTATTGAAGGGAGGATTCAGAGGGCAAGGGAAAATTGTTTCAGCTCAACTCTCTGAATAAATCACTTTATCCATCATCTTCCATCTTTTTTTTTTTTTTTGCTACCCCTAGCTTATAGAAAGCAAACTTGGAAATTCAGAGAAAAACTATTCATGTATCTCTGTTTTTATTTTTATTTTTTAATACGTGAACTCCAATTACTTATTGGAGAAACTTATTCAGTGGTTCTCAAACTTAGTGTGAATAAGGATCATTTGGGTGTGATTCTATTTTGGGAACCTATCCCAGAATTTCTGGTTCTGTGGGCTTTAGGTAGACTCGCCATTTCCATTTTACCAAGCTCCCCAGGTCGTTGATACACAAGGGCCCAAAGACCACAGTTTGAGAAGCATAGTCTTATGGGCCTCTCAGGTTTTCTTTGTCTTTCATGCCTTTTTTGTAATCAAGTTCTCAAATCTCTTGTCTTGCCTAATTGATTTGAAATAACTCCTTGTTAATTCTCTTAAGAGGTGATAGGTTGGCATGGAAAAACCTTAGGTAATTTGGAATCAGACAGTCTGAGATCAGTTTCTGGAATTAGCTGCGGGTGTCAGCACAGACGCATGGTTAAAAAATGAGTTTGGTGTAAAATTCATCTGGACTTGAGTTTTGACTCTTGCCACATTGTGATCTTGGGCAAGTAACTTGGCCTCTCCGGGACGCAATTTCCTAATGCATAAAATGGAAACAACAGGAGTACCCTTCCCCAACCCTTGGGGTTAGGTGGCTATAATTATAAATGAGATAATGCATGTGAGACATATGGCCAAGTGCCTGGCACATAACACTCCGTGGCTCCTGAGTTTGCTTCCCCATCAGTAAGATAGGAGTAAAGATTGCTTACTTCATAGATGCTTTGAGGATCAAGTGAAATAATACCTGGAGAATATTATACATGGGTAATTTTTGGTCTTATTAAATCCCCTAACAACCTCCTAGCCAAGTATAGGCCACTTGCCTGTCCTCTAACCTTGGTTAGCAGCCCCCTCTCACAATCACTGTTTTCTGTCATAGTGTTTAAGGTCCATATACACTAGCTGAGAGGACCGCCACAGCACTGCCAGTCTACGTGTTTGAGGAACTACCAGGACAGGAACAATTTAGATCCTTCTCCATAGAAAGATGCTGACTCTGCAGGATTTCCTGAGCTTGGAACCATGCCTCTTACGGGAAACACCAGTCTGGAACCACTGGCTTCGATAAGGACAGATTCATTAATGGGCACAAAGCCATTGTGATTCTCTGGGCACAGGCCAGGACATAGTCATTTCACTAATTAGAGAAAGCTCTTACATGGGAACATTTATTACACCTTAGCCAGATGACTTATTACCTAGAGGGAATAAAACATCTGAGGACTTAGAGAGAAAAATGTTCTATAACATTTGCTCTTTTTGCGCCTGTCTCTACTAGACCTAGAATTTGACAAACCTCACACCTGGGATTGGGAATTTGAAATACCTGATAGAAGAAGGAATCTTGGAAGGCATTGTCTGAGGCTTCCATGGCAGGAAGATGAGAAGCAATCTGCAGGGTGATTTCTGGAGCCTAAAAAGAATAAAAACAAATAAAAACAAAACCTATCCCTTTGCTAAAAAATTCTCATGCAGCTCAGTTACATAGCACCAACCAATAAACGGGAAGTAAATGAACTGGGGTATCAATTTAAATTATAACAGGTAAGTGGATTCAGTATAGACTACAGGAAAGTGGAAGGAGTATTTGTTAACTTGGTGTTTGAAATTTATGCTCACTACCAGATTTGATTTGCCACTTTTCTAAACAGAGGTACAGTAGCAGTCAGGCATGAAGCCTCTCGGGCCATGATGCCTGCCTTCTAACCCTTTTGGTTGTGTGTTCTTGGAAAAGTTTCCTCACCCATTCTGTATCTTTTTCCCTCAACTTTAAAATGAGAAAAAAATTAGTATCTATGCCATTTGGGTTTTGTGATGATTAAATGAGTTAATTCATACAGACTAATATAACAGTGAAATGACAACCGATTCCAGTACTTTTGCCTGGGAAATCCCATGGACAGAGGAGCCTGGTGGGCTACAATGCGTGGAGTCTCAGAAGAGTTGGACATGACTGAGCATGTGTATGCATATGCAATAGAACATGTAATGTTCTGTGTCATGAACATGTTTTGTGTCATGTAATTCATTCGGTTTGAGTATCAGTTATTTCACCTATAAAAAATTTCCATTGTCAAAAAAAAATATTCCACTGTCTCATAGAATCAGAATTCAGGTTACTAGGTGTAAACAAAACAATGTATACAAAATTGCTTTCTACATTATAAAGTCTATATAGACTTCATTATAAAGACAATGAACGTTGAAGCAGTGGTGGGAACTCTCAAATCAAAGGAGAGCCCACTCTCTGCCTGTATTCTTCTCCCCATTATCCTATCATTTGAGAGATTAGGCTTTCAATTGGTAAAATGATTCACTTAGGAGAGACTTAGAAAGTTCTCTGTTCCTGGTGCTTCAGCCTAAGAAATATCCACTACCTCCAAGCCTCCTTCCTGGTGACCCTGCTCTTCTAAACTCCATGGACGACTGCTCCACAGAGACCAGAACCAAACTCACCTGAAGCTGGGGGGTGAGGAGGTGTAGGATGGAGAGGCCATGCTGGTAAACCACGAACTCCCTGGCAGAGAGGTCTGTGGAAGGCACAGTTATCAGCTCTTCCTTCTGCATTATCTGAGGTTTGGGGAGATCTTGCAAAGAGCTTTTGAGGGCTGCAGGGGAAACAGCAAGACTTCACTGACTATTCTGTGCAGTAACAAGACATTAATTAAACAACAACAATACAATTCAACTTAGGAAAAGGTGTATTTGGATCTATCCATCCATCCATCCATCCATCCATCCTCCTGTGCTAAAGCCTCCTATATATACATTGTGGCTCAAGCCTTCTGCCAGTCTTCATGGAAAAGAAACTGAGTCCCAGTCATTAGGAACAAAGGCACCAGAACAACAGAATGAGGGTCCAGAAAAGATGGCAACACGTTTTCTTCTATTTCATAGGGTTGCTTGGAGCATTAAAATGTAATGTACTCAGAACAGTGTCTGGGACCCAGTAAGCACTCAGAAAGTGTTAGTTGTATTAACAGTCTCACTTCCCCACAAATTGTCTCTATTGCACTTTGGGTCTTTAAACATTTTCTATTGTCTTTTTATTCTTGAGAGGACAATAAAAAAAAAAAAGACTTGACTAGCATGGTATAGGAGAGAATGCTGAACTAGCAGTCAGAGGACCTGATTTCTGGTTCAGGTTCAGTAAGACTCTGGGAAAGTCACTTCACCACTTTGAGTATCTGTTATCTCATCTATAAAAAAATTCCACTGTCAAAAAAATACTCCACTGTCTCATAGAATCTGAATTTGGGTTACTGGGTATAAACAAGACAATCTGTACAAAATTGCTTTCTACATTATGAAGTCAATATAGACTTCATTATAAAGACAATGAAGGTTGAAGCAGTGGTGGCTACTCTGACTGTATTCTTCTTAGTTTACCCCAAGGGGAGGCAGAATTAATATTGAGAATGGTCAAGTTCTGGGGACAGCACATTTTTTCTGTAAAGGGTCAAACAGTAAATATTTTAGGCTTTTACAATCAAGAGGCAAGATTGGGGTTCACATTTAGTTAGTGTTCCCGATTATCCCGGTAGAAGTGTGGCTTTATTCCCTTACAAAACCTCCCCTTGCTTCTCTGACACAAAGATCCGCCCTCCTGAGAACTCACCAAAATTGCTGCCTTCATCTTCCTTTCTGCACTGCCTTTAGAATGTTGGATAATTTTTCATTTGGGGGAGAGGTTAAGAACACAGACTCAGGGGTGAGACTCTCTGGGCTTGAATTCCAGCTGAACTCATTAGCAACATGATTTTTGACTGTTTACTTGACCTATTCAGAAGCTTCCGTTTCCTTATCTATGAAATGGCTAACACCACATACTTTGCTGGGTTGTTGTAAAGATTTAATGAACTAACAGAACAAAAGATTTAGAATACCACAGGATATATTGTAAAGCACTCTGCAGAAATGTTATTCTTTTGACATTTTCCCTATTCCTGGGAGGAGGGATAGGCTACCCACTCCAGTATTCCTGGGCTTTCCTTGTGGCTCAGCTGGTAAAGAATCCGCCTGCAATGCAGGAGACCTGGGTTCGATCCCTGGGTTGGGAAGATCCCCTGGAGAAGGGAAAGGCTACCCANCTTGTGGCTCAGCTGGTAAAGAATCCGCCTGCAATGCAGGAGACCTGGGTTCGATCCCTGGGTTGGGAAGATCCCCTGGAGAAGGGAAAGGCTACCCACTCCAGTATCTTGGTCTAGAGAATTCCATGGACTGTATAGTCCATGGGGTCACAAAGAGTCAGACATGACTGAGCAACTTTGACTTTCACTTTCTAATCATTTAAAAATGTAAAACCATTCTAAGCTTATGGACTGCATGAAAACGTAGCAAGCTGGAGTTGGCCTGTAGGCAATGGTTTGCTGATGCCAAGTCAGATTCAAAGATGTTTTTGGAACTGTGCTTACTAGTGGCCTGCATCATGGTCAGCTGAAAGACATGCATTCATTTCCTGTTAATCCTCTCCCACCTGGGATGTAGGTGAGTTGAAACAGATTCGAGTCTTCAGTTCAGGCAGGCCAGCCATGTTCCCTTTCCAATTTCAAGGGGGTGGTTTTAGTAAAGTAATCTGGAGTCCCTTTCTGGGGCAAGGTCTTCTTTCTCTCTGTCTCCTCTATCTCCCTGTATCTCACACTCTTCCATTAACTGCTTGTAACACATGACTGGGATAGAATCTCAAGATTTAGATTCAGTGCTTAGTGGGTAGATAGAGGGCCGTTAGGAATTCCCTTGGGGACTTTTGATTTCTGTTCATTATTCCTCATATGGAAAACCCCTTGGATCTTAGGATGGGGTGAGGAGAAAGGGATGATGGTGAGTTGGGATTTTGGTACTTCCAGTCCTGCGGGTTACACCACTGGACACCTTCACTGTGTCATGGTAAGTCTAAACCAGAGCCCCCAGGGGAAGGAGGTCACCTGGTTTGTGATGTGCCTGTCCTTGCAGTTCAGCTTCATCCCTGAGAGCTTGGGACCTGATGTCTACTTTCCTCAGGGCTGAGAAGAGTGGTGAGGTCCACGGGATGTCAACTTTATCTGCATCTGAACAGAGGAGAAGAAAGTGGCTGTTGTGACTAAGGGCAGAGGGCTGTGGCCAAAGTCTAAAAGAGCATCGGGTGTGACAGGTGGCTCTGCAGCGGCCTACATGCACCCCTGTGTGTGCCCATGCCCCTGGGTTATCTCCTCCTTGAGTGTGGGTTGGATTTACTGATTTGCTCCTAATGAATAGAATATGGCAAAAGCGATGAGATCAGGATGCAAAAAGGATATTGTTTCCATTTGGGGCGGGGGCTCTCTCACTTGCTCTGAAGGAAACCAGTTGCCATGTTGTGAATGCCTTATGAAGTCCATTTGGCAAGGAACTGATGTCTCTGGACACAAGTCAGTGAGGACTTGAGTTCTGCCAATAGCCATGAGAGTGAACTCAGACTGTGCAGTCAAACCTGGAGATGACAGCAGCCTGGCCTGATCTCTTGATGTAGCTTATATGAGACCCTGAACCAGAGGCCACTAGCTAAGCTTCTTGACCCACAGAAAAACTGTGAGATGATAATGTTCATTGTTTCAAGCCACACAACTTTGGGGCAGTTTGTTACACAGCAAGGTATAAGTAATACATTGAGTTTCTTCATGTTCTTGAAGAACCTGCCACGGCCACACCCTTACGGAGCTCGAAGCTCTAACTGTAGCATCAGCACTTCATCACACATGATCAGAACTGGCGGCAGAAGGTAACTCTGGCCCCACGATCCACCTCACCTGTTCCTGGTCCCCCATCCTCCAGTCCTAGGCCGTGGCCTTGATCTCCCATTAGTGCCCCAGTGAGGCTCTTCAGGAAAGGAATCAACAGGGGGCAGGCAGCAGCATGGTCCCTGGGAGAAGTGGTGATGGTTCCATAAAACCTGTCTGCAGGGTAATTCTCCAAACACACAGGGGTCCCCGAGGCAACAATCTAGGATGAAACAGTCAGAACCTAGTCCTGTGCTTGGCTCCGCGTGGTTTCTCTGCAGCTTCTCTCTGTTGGAGAGCTCCCAACAAAAGCTGGACACACACATCTCCTTGGCCAAGGACAGAGGTCAGTACCTGGATGTGCAAGAGTTGGAGGCGGCTCAGCTCCCGCTGGTACTGCAGCTGACCAAGGGCCCTATCCAGGGTACTCTGCCTCTCCGTCACCACCTCCTGAAGCTCACTGGAGAGATGCTGGACCACCTAGGACACAGGAAGTGAAGTGCCGTGAGTAGAAGGGAGAGTCTTTCTCTTTCTCCCTACTCCCCTCCCAGCCCACCTGCGGAAGAGCCACGTCTGATGTCACGGGTGAACGTGCTCTCTCATGGGATCCCCTCATCAGCCTCCGAGTCTCACCTTCCTGGAGCGGCTCCAGACCTGTGGGCTCTGGCCCTTGCTGCACTGTAGCCGCATCTCCTCCTCCTGGCCCCGCAGCCGGCCTACCGCTTGCCTGAGCTTTTCCTCGGCCTGCCCTAAACTCTGCAGGACTTGCTGCAGGCTCAGCACCACCTGCGCCTCCTGCGCCCACTCCTCTCTGTCTGCTGCAAGGGGCAGAGAGAAGAGCCACGTGGCAGCGCCTGCCTCTGGAGGGAGGGAGGAGAAGGAAAGACACGGTGGTTTTTTGGAGCCCAGGGAAGGGACCTGCTGGGTCAGAGCCGGGGACTGGCTGGATACCTGGGAGGTTCCGAAACACGTGGAGAGGGATGGAGGGACCCAGGCTGGGGACCTGGGGTTGGCGGCACCCCTCCCGGGAGGTTTTGCTCCGAGGATCGGCGCCCCACCTTGAGCGAGCAGGTCCCGCTCGCTCTGGCTGCTCTGGCCGCTCAGGGCTCCGGCTCTCCTCTGGGTCTCCTGCAGGCAGCGGGCCTCCAGGGCTCTGCAGGCCTCCTCAGCGGCCCTCAGCTGAGAGGGCGGGAGATGAGGGGCACAGAAAGATGGGTTCAGGAGGGGAAGGCAGGAGCTGGGGGCTGGGCCAGCTCCTTCCCCCTACCCCCATCCTGCTGAGACACTTAGGAAAGAAAAGGGAAAGTGAAGTCGCGTCTGACTCTTAGCCCCCACCATGGACTGTAGCCCGCCAGGATCCTCCATCCATGGGATTTCCCAGGCAAGGATACTGGAGCGGGTTGCCATTTCCTTCTCCAGGGGATCTTCCCGACCTAGAGATCAAACCCAGGTCTCCCTCACTGAGGGCAGGCTCTTTACCCTCTGAGCCACCAAAAGCCCCGAAGTCTGGGCTTGGAGCTGGGGGATGAATCCTGGAACATTTTCTGCCCTGAGATGGACTCCATTTCTGCGGTTGGTGGGAGAAAAAGGTTCCCTGCTTCCAGGAGAAACCTGTGGGGACTGGGGCCAGGAGGAGGGGCCTCTGGGCTCACCCGCAGCTCCGGGATTTCGCCGGGTGTGGAGAGCAGTCCCGGGCTTGCAGCGCCCAGCTCTTCCGCCAGCCGAACCTCTTCCTGCTCCTGGCAGTGCCAGTACTGCTCCCGCGCTCTCAGCTCCTTCTCCAGGGTGTCCAGCTACAACGTTCAGCTTGTTTAGGGCCCAGACACTTTCTCTGCTCCCAGCCTGGGGTCTGGCTTCAGACCCCCCAAAGCCTCTTAAGCCTTTGGCTTCCCCTTTCCCGGGGCATCTATGACAAAGCTTGGTGAGGCAGCTGCTTCCGTGGGAGATGGAAAAATAATCACCAGGCACCTTCTGCAAGCTCTCAGGCCTTCCCCCCCCTATTTCTAACACCTAGACTCTCCTAGGTCACTGCCCCTGCCCACCTGTCTCCTGGGGAGCCAGGGATGGGCAGGAGGCAGCAGGAAACTGTTCTTGGATGCTTGTATCGCCCCTTTACACTTGTCTGTGACCCTGGATGTCCGGGCTAGCATTACATTTCTTGACTTCTAACCAGAATCTTTTATGACTTGTCCATTTTTGTCTCTGGAAGTATAACTAGGCTGAGAATGCAGGGGAGGACCCTAAATCATTTTCATTTCAGTGGAGAACCTGCCAAAGGCTGAATTACTGTAGGAACCTCCTGCTCTAGTCTGGCCCTGGTCTCATCTGTCCTCTGCACTGCTTAGAGGGAACTTTCTAGAATGCTGACTACACATACACATGTGCGTGCGTTCTAAGTCACTTCAGTTGTGTCTGACTTTTTGTGACCCTATGGACCATAGCCTGCCAGGCTCCTCTGTCCATGGGAGTCTCCAGGCAAGAATACTGGAGTGGGTTGTCATGCCTTCTTCCAGGGGATTTTCCCTACCCAGGGACTGAACCCACATCTCTTAGGTATCCTGCATTGGCAGGCGGGTTCTTTACTACTAGTGCCACCTGGGAAGCCCCATATACACACATATCAAGCATAAAAATGTCTGGAAGGAGGTGTGCCAACCTGTTAACAGTGGCTGCCTTTGGAGGGAGAGACTGGAGGAGAGGTGTGTAGTGTCTGGAGAGAGGAGCAGACTGGGGGGAGGGAGTTGTTGATGGCAGGTGGAGTGAGAGAAAGTGGGAGCAGGAAGCTCTTTCATCTTTATTTGGACACTTTAAAAAATATATTAATAGTAGGATTCTGAGTAATTTGTTTTCTTTTTGTATTGTCCCAAGATTTCCAAATTTAAGAGCCTTGAAAACATGCATGTCTGATCTTTTCACTTGGATTCTGATCATATCAACTTCAAATCTTTCAGTGGCTTTCATCATAAATCACATTTCTTGGCTTCAGCCAAGCACCCAAGGCTGCTTATGCTTCATTTCCTGTCTTCTGCATTGGCCTCACCTGCTGCCTTAGCCCCTCTGCCTTCCTCATTGTCCTGGAACACTCATGGTCTCACACCTGCCACTTTGCCCTCGCTGGGCCCTGAGGCCTTTCTCTGAGTCCTTCTTCAGGTTTCAGCAGGGCTGCCCCTTTGGGGAGCCTTCCTAGAATGCTCACCCTGTGACTTAGATGCCCCTCCTCTGTGCTGTCTCCACACCCTTGTAAACCATGACCATGGCTGGCACCTACAGCTGCCCAGCGCCCCGTCTAGCTGTCTGCTTCTCAGCACCTAACACAGTGCCTGGGACACAGGAGGTTCTTGATGAGTATTTGCTGATTGAATGAAGAAATAGAATAAATGCCTCCTACATACCAGACCAGGGTCTCTCACTGCCCGGGGTAAGGCCTCCAGCACTTGGACAATGGGCACCACAACCCCGGTGGAAGGGTCCGTTTGAGCGCCAATGACGGGACCAGGTTCCCCAGTCAAGGGGTCTATGGCTTGTGCCCCAATTGCAATTGGGACCAGACCTGTGGGATGCCAAGACCACCACTGGTGGTTTCTGGAACCAGAGATGGGGAAAGAAGGCAGGGGTAGTCGTGGGAAGAAGGAAATATGGCTGTGAGGGAGCTAAAGAACCCTAAGAAACATGCTGATCCTTTGAGGAGCTCTGAGCGGGATTAGAGGGTTTCCTGAAGCCACAGGACCCTGAGGGTGAAGGGGGAGTGGGGTTTTTGAAGTGCTCATCTTTGAATTTTCTCAGGGGGGGTAAGTGATCTGTGGTAGCAGGGGTCTGGAATCTCTGAGCTCCTCTATTTGGGGTCTCAGCAGCCCTGGTGGTAGCATCAGAATGATCCCATTCCTTGGCTCATGAGTGCGCAGGCTACAGGCACCCCTCCTAAGCTTTATGAGGTCTTCAGCCACATCCCCCCAGGGCTTTCAGGGACCCCCCAGGTTCCCTCCTACCTTTTCCATCTGCATCTTCCATCGAACCTGCCACGGGTGTGGCATGGCCAGCATCCCCGTCACTCTCCATGCCCAGGACGGGCACCATGAGCCCTGAGCCCGCAGGGTCTAGGATCTCCATCCCATACAAGGCCGGGACCCACAGCGCTGTCCCCAGATAGCGCATCGCCCCTAACACAAAGCGAGGGACACAGGGGGAGGAAGTGAGGGCGGAGGGCCACACCGAGGTTTGAGGGGCTGTGTCTCTGTCCATCCCTGATAAGACTGCCTCTGTTTGCCCACCTTAGCATTTTGAATCCATAAAGGAAGAACTGAGTACTTAAAAATAAGGCAGCAGGTCTTTGGGGGAAACTGAGAGCAATTTCTAGGCTAGGCTGAAAAGGTGGAAGACAGGGGACAGACTTTCTTGAAACACCTACATGTGCCAGAATCTAAGCTCAGAACTCCATATAAAATGGACTTTACTTGGTACTACAGCTAAATCTCTAAAGGATGTGCTCTTTTAATCCTCATTTTAAAGATGTTGTAAACAGAGGCAGAGGGAGGTTTAGTAACTTGCCCAAGGTCAAAGAGGTTACAAACGGTGGGGTAGGTCTTCAAACTCAAGTCAGTTCTGATCCCAAAGCCTGGTTCTTTTCTGACACATCCTGGGCAGAAGTTTCTAGAAGGAGTGTGTGAGATAAGCTCCAGGAAGACGCCACTTCTACTTCCTTTCCCTGCCTTTCCTTGTGCTGGGGCAGTAGGGGACGTGGAGGAGTTGGATGGGCTCCTTCCTGAGTTTATTCACGGTAAGTTGAAGGCTGTTGACAAGGAGAGTGGGGACTCTGAGACTCAGGCTTCAGGTCCGGCTGTGCAGTTAACTAGCTAAGGGATCCTGGTGGGTGAGTCTCTTAGCTCCCTTGACTTCAGATTCTGCAGTGTAAAGTGGGCATCATCACGTGTTATGGTGCTTGGGGGTCCTATGAAATTACCAGAGGATATCCACTTTACTAACATCAAATGTAAGACCCAGTGGAATTGGCTGGAGGTTAACAGACAGATTGAAAACCAAGCATTCATGAGCTCAGGGCATGAAGTCACCGAATTCCTTCTCTCTTCCCTTGATCCCATGTGTGACTGGCCGGTGGGGCTGCAGGCCTGTCCCCGAGCTTACGGGCTGAGGGGGCAGTGAAGCACCAGGTCATTCTGGGTCTGGGCTGTCAGGGCTTGGGGAGCCGTACCTATCCTGCCGCCGCTGGCCTCCAGGTTCTCCGCTGCTTTTTGCTGTCTCTGTAGCCGCCAGGCCTGCTGCAGGAGGTGGTGCAGGCTCAGGGCCAGCGCCTGTCTCATGTCCTTGACGGCAGCCTCCAGGAGCCCCTGTCCCCTCGGCCCTGGCATCTCCTGGGAGCTCTGGAGCACTGCAATCACTCGTCTCTGGGCCGCCAGCACGTTGGCGTCCAGCAGGTCCTGGGGCCCTCCTGTATGGGGCACAGTCCGGCCCTCCTGTCGGGAAGCCCCCTGGAGCCGGACTGGCTTCCTGCTCAGTGGCTCCACAAAGCTGTCACCAGGCAGCAGGAGGTTCCCCGAGGCATCTCGCAGTCCTCCCAGTGCAAGCACCTGACCTGGAGGCAGGAACCAGAGAGAGGGGGATGCAGGAAGGGAAGCAGGTGGATGAGGCAAAAGAGAGAACCGGGGGCCAGGACAGAGTGAGTGACAGGATGGGGGTGGAG